GTTCAACAAAATTAAATCAAAGTATCCATTCAATGCATTGACAAATGAAAATTTACATGGAATTTAAAGCTACAGAAGTACGAGAAGTTTGTGTTCAATTCACGAAGAACAAATAAATCCAATGGTGCATTAAAGATCGGCCAATTGTATTCGGTGCAGCACTGTCAGCGGTGTAACATATGCGAAGGTGCATCATTGCGTGTGTAACGTGTACAGGTGTCAGAACGCCCCAGAAGTCAAATTTATGAATTTTAATTACTCCTATCTCGAGGACGAAGCGCCTAATTACAAAGCAAAACAGGATTTTTTCGATTTCTTCTTCCACGAGGAATTTGCATACTTCAGCCTATCCCATAATTTTGGAACATGTGATAATTCTCAATAATTGCCTCACATCAACCTCCTTTTAAAATGCTAAAACTTGACGCAATATCGAATCTAACCGAATATCGAAGCGTGTACAAAAGATTCATTGACGTTGAGGGCGGTTGTGGCGCGTATCGAGTCTCATTGTGAAATTATGAATGTTCTCTTACCATAGTGTCCGTAACCAAGTCCATATCCGTAAAATGGGTATCTGTATCCGTACAGGTACGGATAGTAACCGCCGCCGTACCCTCCGAATCCGCCGTATCCACCCAAATATCCTGGTTTTGCAGCGACGATGCCGATTATGACAGCCAGCAGCAGGAATGTGTACTGCAAGGATTGAAGACGAGACATGAAGTTATCTGTTTTGGCTCTTAATTCATGGAAATAAATTAGTAAGGTGGAATAGAATTTTTCTTTCCACCTATAAAAATGAAAAATAGTACTATCAATTAGTGGTTGAATAGGTCTTAATAATTAATTTTCTTTGCTTTCATCACTTACTCTTCACTTTTAATATCATTATAGAAATATTATTTGATGTATGGTAGACAATTCATATATAAAAATCAAACAATTTGCCAAAATTTTACACTTATGAACTCAACTGAAGTCCTTCCCACTGTTTGTATATTTCACACCCTATAATCACTGATCTTTTATTAAATTTCTTTCTACCGAACTATTCATTTAATTAATCATGGAAAATAGGAAAGGTGTCAACACGATCATTGAAAAGTAGATATTTTGTATATTAAACTGTATTATTATAAAAAATGAATTTCAGTTTGCTGGCCTTTGTTCGTTGACTTACAAGTTTCAAGCAAGCCATTCTCTGTCAGCTGACACTAGCCTGTTTGTTCCTCGAGCAAGTTGCACTAATTTTTCTGGATCTATCAGTAGCACTGTCTGTCTAACGTTGGTCCCCGGTTCTTTTATAAGAAAGGCTGGTCTCGTCGCGGCCCCCAACAACAATTTTCCCAGCCTTCGTATTGGCTTTCCTCTGTTAACACTAATAGCAATGCCCGGTATTGTTACCCTGAGATTATGCGAATGCAATGCGTCATTATGAAAGAGACACGATGCAGTAACGCGTTTCGGGATGGTCACACATGCACGCCCTGTGAACAGCGCCTTGACATCCAAATTCATTGACGGTTCCAATCCAACGTCAACGAAACGTTCTATTACGTTTCTCAATTCTGCTTTCGTATATATACACAAACATAATTTTACGTTACCAGACCACGGGTTCAATCGTCAAAAAACTTGCCAAATATGAACACATATTTATATTTTTCTTCAATTAGAAATGGATCGTTCGACCAAGTAGAAATAGTATCTACATTCTCATTAATGTACGTGTACTTTACATACTGTCTTTCTCCATCTATTACCTCTTTGCACTCCTATATCGAGTTACATTCGATATCATGTTTATACATATGAACTAAAATCTAATTTTTATATGTATTTAGTCTTTTCATTATTAATATTTTTCAATTGAAAAATTTAGACGTTCCATCAATATTAGATTACTACATAGTTTTCAATCTATTTTCAATATAATTAATAATAGAATACGTTTAAAGTTAGTCCGAATCAAGAAACTGTGTTTCGAAGTACATTTTTGATAAAACACATAAAATAATAGGGAGTTATAAGAAAAAAAATTGAACAAATAAAAATCTGAACAAATTTGGAATGTTAAGGGTTAATAACATTCTAAAGGATTTTTCAAAATATATTGATAATGATACAAAAAAAAAATCGAAACCCAAAGCTAGAATGAAATGCTCGATTCGGCCCCAAGAAAGAAGAAAAGTCAAAGGTTGCGTGACAAAATCGAGGAGGAGGAGATCGTCGTTACAAAATGGTGAAATTACATGGTGCATGTCGTGGGATGAAATCGCGAAAAAAAAAAATTGTTGCGCCACGTGTGGTACCGAGGATGCGTTTGCCATTAATTACAGTAAATGGGTAATGTATCGCAACTGATACCGATAGTAATTGCGCTCGATGGATTGCTGAAAGCATTCTGATGTTTATGGGGAATGATATTAGCTTTTTATTATTGGAAACACTCGACTTATTCGACGATGTACGACACGCTCCATAGAAAGTGTATTTGTTTACGTGTTTACGACTTCGAGTGCATTACCTCATACTTTGCATTGAAATCTGTCGATGATTCGAGAAAAGACACAGAACGTCTTCCACGCGTATCGCATAATTGATCGTCGTGCACGCGATGAGTAATTATATCGTTTCGCGAGAAAAAAAATCGCGTGACTATGTGATTCATGAATAGCGGGCCGCTTTCCTCTGTGGGAAGTCGTTGCGGATTATTGCTGCATCTCTAAATTTATACTTGACTTCCGACATTATTCAGTTAATTAATGTAATTTGTGCAATTCTGTTGGATTTCCCTTTATTCTAAGCAAATTATGAATGTACTTAAACAGGTGTCCTTAATCCTTAAATAAATAAAGAGTGAATAATAATCAATAAAAACAATGATTTATAGCGTTGTACTTTTTATTTTTATTTCCTAAGTATGGTTCGATGGGAGGATCTCTGATTTAAATCATCGAGGCTCCAAATCGAGATCTTAAGATCAATCTCTGTTTATGCTAAATAATTCCCACCGATACTTGCCGTGAGTCATCGCGTCTAAAACACTCAAGATCTAATTCTGCCTGTTACGTGATCATTTTTTCCTGTTTTCACGCTATTTCCCCGGAATACGCGATCAATATTGCTAACGTCGAAGGATTTTCCGCCTATTACGTGTAGTGATATATTCACCTTGAAGGTGTCGCGATAAATCGATTTCACAGCTCTGTTCTAGTTATCAATCTCGAACGAATGATCGCGCCGAGGACAGCAGGTTTGGTTCACCCTTTACACGAGTGTTTCTCTGACAGGTAAGTACCCAATTTTATAGAGGAGTTTTACAATATTTGGCTAACTATACTATATTCATGCATAAAGCTTTCAATACTTTATTTCTTTCACATTTGAAGCTTGATTATATTGCAAAAGAATCTCCTTGAAAAACAAAACTGACTCATTCAACGAATAATCCAACATTAAAATTGCCAAACCCTGACTATACTCAAACTCAGACTTTCCAGCACAGTTTTGCTACCGCCGTCAGTCGATAATCTTCATTAATAGGCGACACGCGTATGCAAAATCTTCCCGATGGAGGCCACGAAAATTATCAGACCGTAGTTGGCACGCACCGTAGGCACGGCGCATAATTGCAGGATAAGGCCAACCAGAGCTATGGGAACCTTTTTGTGTATCATAACCATGGGAACGCATCGCTGACCAATGCCAAGTTACGGCACGTGTCGTGGCGAACACCGTGTCAGCTGCCAATTACATTTTTCCGTCGATCGCGACTCGAATCACTTTGCGATTTTTCCATCTGTCCTTTTTGCGACGAGCGAGCCGAGGACGATCGAAATCAGCCGCGCGACGTTCAACGGGAGGCGTTTATTTGTTTTAATCATTGCTCGAGGGAACGGTTTCGTAACGTGCATCGTGAATGGACAGGTGCTTTCATTGAAAAGAGAACGACGACGGTAAATATGTCAACTGAACGAAGAGAAAATTAAAGGGAAGGCGGATTATCGTGACAGGAGTCGTCGACACGTTTGTTGATTGTCAGTCGTGCATGTTTATGTAACTTGAGTTGGTATAGTTACAGGGAATACTATAATATGTAGATTAACAATGGTTCGTTATAAAAATAAAAATTACAAGGATCAATGGAATATGTAATCAAAATAGTATAATTATTTTCGAATTAAAATATATATTTAACATTTTAATGCTTACATACATGCAATTCGAAGAAGAATGGAAACTTAAAATGCAGACATATAATAAATATAGGAAGAATATAGAATTTCTACGAAGGGGTCGTCGACAACGTCTGTTGATTGCTAGTTATGTATATTTATGTAACTTGAGTTGGTACAAATAGTTACAGGGAATGCCATAATATGTAGATTGGTAATGGTTCGTTATAAAAATAGAATGATAAGAATAAAAATATATATTTAATACTTTAATACTTATATGCAATTTGAAGGAGAATGGAATGGAAACTACACTTAAAATGCAAACATATAATAAATGTAGGAAGAATTCAGAATTTCTACAAGTTTATATAGATCAGTATCTCACTACAGCACCGTATGTATTCGTAACTCCTTGACCATTTTTTTTCTAAAATTTTCTTTTATTCCTTCGTTGAAAGGCCATACTCATGTAAATTGCTCGATTAGAGGCTGATTATTGTCACCTATGATGAAATTCCACCTATTAACAGTCAAACTACCTATTTATATGTTAGGAGTTAAACAAAGATATGCAGTCAGTCTCATAAATATGTCTATTGAAGAAATTTGTTTAAATTAAATGATAAATTTGATGTTTCCAGATAAATTTATCATTTAATTTAAACAAATATATATATATATATATATAATATATATAATATATATATAATATATATATAATATATATAATATTATATATATATATTATATATATAATATTTAAACAAATATATGCAAATATATGCAATATATATATAATGTAAAGTGTAAAGTTTATCCATGTACATATTTATAATGAAACATTTGCTTGAGAACATCGAACCTATTATTTAATTTAGACAAACTTCTTTAATAGACACATAGGGTAAGAATATTTATAATACTGACTGTATTAACACTGTATGCCAATGGAGTGAAGAGATAACTAAAAGGCAGATTAATGAACATTTCGCTTGACATTTCTGTTCTTCAATAATATCCTTAGTACAAATGAAGTCGACATAAATAGCTAAATTAAATTCCATCCCATCCAGAGAATTCACTCTCTTAATCCTAATCATCCGAATCCCTCTTAGCGAATCCTATATTAACCTCCCGCGCGAGTTTGTCGTCATTCCCATACAGGTGCCAAGGAAAACGAAACTTCTCGTTGCCATTCGAAGGCAAGGTTTCGACTTCATCCGGTTTGCTCTCCGATATCACTTCCGCGTCGCCGTTCGCAGGCATCGCTGGACCCTCGGCGCCCTCGACCTTCTCGGCCTCCACGGGTTTCGCGGAATTATCAGGCATCATTCCTTGTGGATTGCCATTATGTTTGGGGAACGGTCCACCGAATGGATAATAAGGACCTGGGATAAAAGGTCCGTAAGGCTCTGGGTACAGGTATGGTGCCACTTTGATTCGTGGAATGAAATGATCGAAGCTGTGATGGTAACGATGGTAAGGTACTCCATTAATTGGTCCCACGACTCCTACGACTCCTGGGAGATCGTAAAATGGACCATTGGGTGGATACGGGTACCCGTAAGGTGGATTGCCCGTGGCGTTACCATTCCCTTGGCCGCCGTTTGATTGCTCGGCGTTTCCAGCGTTCTCAGGAGGATTTTGATGCGGAGGTTTCCCGTTGAAGTTAGGATAGTAAGGACCATACGGATTGAATCCGTATCCAGGGAAACCATTTGGAAATTGGCCATTCGTAAAATTGCCTCCAGGTGGTCCAACGTCGCCTGGATTGAAAGTGCCATTGAATGGATAGTAAGGACCTCCATAAAATGGAGGTGATCCGTAGAATCCACCGGGATAAGGTCGATAGGGAAAACCAGGATGGAAATCGTAACCAGCTACGGCAGACTGGCCTTGATTCTGGTCCTCGGTCAATCTGGACGGATTATTTTCGATCTGTTCTGGTCTTGGCGACGGTGGCTGACCGTTCCCTTCGACATTGGGGTAGATGAATCCTGGCTGTCTGTAGACTGGCGACCGCTGAGGACCAGGGAAGGGACCTTGGTAATTCAAATTATACGGTCTGTTCGCCAATCTAGCTGGCGGAATGTTCCCGTTGGGTCCTGAGTTGGGCTCGAGCCCGTCCACGTTCAAGGATTGGGCAGGAGGAGGTCCTGGTGTCTGCTGCAAGTGATTGTAATGAGGGAAGCCTAACTGGCCATACTGATTCGCGTTGGGCAAAGGGTCGACCACGTCAGGCTTGTATTTGAATTCAGGAATCCTTCTGTGATAGTTATTGGAGTAGTGAAAAGGGCCTGCGTTGATGTCAGCGTCGATGGAGTTGTCCCTGGTGTCAGGATTTATGTTCTCCGTACCTTCGATATTCGATTCTTCAGGTCGAAGCGGTGGCTCTCGATTCGCTGCGAATTGATACGGTTTGAAGGACTCGTAGTTGTAGTTATTCGAGTAACGAGGCAGGTTCGACGACAGGTAACCATTCTGGAGTTCGTTTCTTCCCTCGTTGGGGACTTGGCGTTTTTCTGTGAACCTCTTGAATCGACCCACAACCTTATCCGCGATTGGTGGATTTCCTACCTCGGGGATCCCCGCGTTTAATGACTGCGTCTCATGCGCTTTTTTCTGGAAGCCCCAATTCGAGGTCTGGTTCGACGAAGAGTCTTGGAAGTCGCTCAGCAAGGTAGACGACAGGACCGATGCGACGTTCTTCGCGAACGACGTCAGCACCTCGGGATCTGTCGCGCGAATAAAGAGTTTAGAATATTTCGTGAATAATATTACGAAAGAAAATTACAGGCGGCCCTCGAATTCGCACATTTTTAAAAATTCAATTTTTTAAGCCAAAAGAAAATGTCAAACAATGAAAAATTGTTCATGGAATATTTGTTTACATCCCTCTACTTTCGTGATTCAACATTCGCTCCACTTTCAGGAAGCAATTGTGTGCGAAAGTCGAGGACCCCACTGTATATTGAGAAACTTCGAGTAAACTGCCTTCGAGTGAATGCCTAGAGGTTTTGTTTTACCTCTGTCAACGAGAACTTGCGTGCGTTGATTGATGCATCGTACAACAGACATGCATCACGCAAGATGTCACTTGCACTTTCTCCCTTTAAAACCTGCCCCAATTCCGCGGATACGAAACTGACCAATTTTAGATAATTTTGCAATTGTGCTTAATTTATTCATCTGACATTTCCATCGACTACCTGTTCCTGTCACGTGACGCACAAATGCATAATAATAAAGAATGTCGTCTGAAATTACCTGTTTTGAACGGCAGAGTGTTTTTGTACCGGTTATTCAAAATTTTGAACTGTGTTTTGGTCTGTTTCAGAGACCGTATATTAAGCTAGTGAGGAATTTTTATTTTGGGCAGTAAATCGATTGATAATATTGTGTTTTTACGTGCAGATTTTGTAATACAGTGTTTTTGGAGTATACGTTCAATGGAGAGGACCAAAATCTAGTAATTTGACTCACAAATTTTGCGAGGGTGTATACATTCAAACCAGTAAGTATTCGTGCCCTCTACGTTTACTGAAGAACTCTGGAACTCTGGATTATTTTAACTCAAGAATAGGACTGACAATAGATATTGGAGCAGCCAAAAAATGAAGTCTTGAAGCACAGTCTTAATGGTCCTCGAAAGTTTAATAAGCACTCCCTGCAACAATGTTCTCGATGACACTGACTCGATTGTTCCTAGCAATTCTAGTAGCTTCCATGATAAAAAAAAAATGATAGAAACGATGTCACTCGTTCGTGTCGGTGCTTTAAAGTGCAATCGTTATTGTTTTAAAAAGTAGTTCAAGGACGAGCAGTCCCATTCACGGGTTCCCAGAACGACATAATGATCTGCTTACTGACTCCGGTTTTCACTGCGTGCGCATCGCCACGAAGTATCCAGAACCCCGTGCAGAGCACCGTAATCTGCAACAGGACAAAAGCTAGAGTCAGAACCGGGAATCGTCGGCATTCCTTCGCTTTGTATCGCGAAAATCTCCGCTTCCCTTTTGACTGCGTAACGCGTGCCACGTAATGAACCCCCCCCCCCCCCTCCGCGTTATCGTGGCCAGCAATTTTCCGTAATACGATGTTTTATTTGTCATTGCGTGACGCAACGCGTGTACGCACGCTTCATACGTGACACACTTGCTTTCGATGCTATACTGCGACCGATTGTGCAAATTTTCGAGGGTGCAATCGCCAAGATGGAAGAGTAGGAACTCCTCGTGCGACGTCTGGGAGTTTTGAAATGTTTGCGACGCGCTCAATAGCTGCCTTCTGCGGACTGTGGTATTGGAAATTGCGAAAATGCGTGCGATTGTAAAATTGTTCGAGTTAAAGAAATTTGGGAAAATTACACTCCCGACCCCCACAGAAAATCTTTTGTAGGCGTTGAAAGGAGATTTTGAAGCTTTGGCATTATTGCAACACAGTTGTTAGATTGGTGCATATGAAATGTCGTACATACAAATGAAACTTTAACCATACTAAATATTTTTGAAACATTTGATTGATTGAATTGAGTAAAATGAATGTTATTGGCTCGAGCAATTGAAACACTAGAAAAACGATATTGCATATGTACCAACCGAATAGTATCTTTATTCTGCAAACTCCAAAATTAAAAGTCACGAAAGTTTCTGTGCTTATTAAATTCATCACACACGAAAAATGAAATAGATGCGTTAATACCGGAGGAAGTTTATGATACTAGAACAAACATGCATAAATAATAATTGAACAATTCCTTCCCCCAATTTTTAAGCGTAATGCTACTGGAATTTTCAATTCACTTCGCACCTGTCTTCATCTAACCAGCTCTTCGTGTGCATTACCATTTTCCATAAGAACATCTCAATGCGTAATTCTAATCGTGAGTCATTTATATTAGTAGAAGGGTTCAGCGATGCCTCTATCATTTGGACAATGATCGTACGTCAATATTTATGGTTAGCAGCGACGATTAGAGAAGAATCACCGGTATTCATGGTTTGTCATAGAGTACAACATTCCAGTAAAGGAAAGCAATCAATATTGTTCATTTCTACGGATGGAACCTGTTTCCCCGCGCGGCAGAAACGCTTGACGAATCAATCGATCGCGACGAACTTATTGCTTCCTGAAATTCACGGAATTCTAAGAACAAAATTGATCGCGAGTGATTGAGAAAACAATTGACTGGCGTTGTGTAATATCGACGTTACATTATGAAATTTACGGCACGCATGGAAGAAAGCAGGAAAGCGAACTGCAATTATCGTCATTGCAGTTCGTTAGAAAAAAAAATCTGCGAATTACTACTTACTGGGTTCGACATTTTTCCACATCGTAATAATACTGTTATACAATAGCAAATTAGTCTGAAACTCATCATTCAATGGTTTCTATTATAGACACGGCGCAAATTCTTTCTTTGAAGGAAAGTTGTTCTAGTATCTTTTTACATGCATTTTCTTTCAATATTTCTAAGTATAAAAATAATTCTGAATTATATAATCACTTGATAGTATTTACGATACAGTAACTGGAAACTTTAAATAAAAGAATAATAATATAAGGGTTTAAAAAAGATGGTTGTAAGTATAGATACTTAAATAGACTTAGGTAATCAGTAAATAATTAATGCAGAGAGGGAGAGAGGGATTATGTCGCGCTCCATTCATAGTTAATCCATTCAGGTTGATTTCTATGAGCAACGTATTACGCGATCGCAATAAAGCACGTGTGGCTATATTTATACGCGGCCATGCCCCCGTGAATGGCCACTATCGTGATCTAAAATAAGGTGCACTGTTCTCCCATCCTCGAATCAATTCCCCAGACTCCACATATATCAAACAAATGATCCAATTTTAACCTTCCCAACACCTTAAATAAATTTTCACCCTCGACACAAATCCACGTTCGATAATTAACTGCAATCAATTAAAACGACAAGTTTCTGTTATAAATATCCATAGAAATGAAATACGAAGCAACACCTATCCGACAATTAGTATACTCTCATCGACAACCTGTATTTAATGGAACTCCCTCTGATTAAACAATTTTATTTACGATTAATTCGCGTAATTTAAGTGGAATGCATTCTGCGAACACAAGAAACATAAGATCTCATATTGTTATACTCGGATCGTAATTAGCATGATTATGCAACGTCTAATCCTTTCTTCTCGCAAGGACGTGCACTTTTGAATATATATGTATTTACATGGATACAAAGTTCGCAGAAGACTCATTGTAGAACAGAAGTTCATTAAAATTTATCCGACGCCCATAAATCTCGTACAACACCTGTGCAGCACATTATTCACAAACCGTAATAAATCATGGCGATTACGTAAACTCTATTGTCGTACCAATCACAACCGACGCCACTGGAGGATTTGCAGGGCTGCAAACTGCACTCCACACTAATAAATTCATTTAAATTTGTCTTGTCCCATTAGAGGGGTTGTACTGTGCAATAAAAATGGAATAAACTTCGTTATTTATTGCTTCTAAACTGTCACGAACGCGTCAGCAGACAGATTATCTCTTCAAGTTGAAACATGCGATGCACCATGCGGCAGTAAATTATCAGTAGGTGTTAATTAGCTATGAATATTTACACTATTATTTAAAAAGCTACACTGCTTCTACGTTTATTTTTAATTTATATTTGAAAATTTTATTATAACATATTTGAGTAGTTAACTGGAACATTGTTGTGCGTCACATTAAAGAAACTTCTCAGGGTATTTTATACCAAATATAAAAACAAGGTAATCCGTTTTATAATTATTTTATTGATTTACTTTAAGTAAAAATAAAAATTAGCCAAGTTTTATCAATTTTAGAGTTATAATTTACCCAAAGCATCGCGTATGTCACAAAAGTGGACAGGTTGATGGACTATGCAAACGAAGAATAGCTTATTGTGTATAAGCCAAATATATTTTTCTTGGTTTTTATTTAGAAAGTGGTTACCGCATGTTGCATCGATGTGGAACAAATATTGTCTTCGTAGTTGCAATAGAGCGGCTCTTCTTTTTGTTTTCTATGAACGAGGATCGTATTAGAGTACTTATACTCACGTGGAGCGGGTAATGCATCGTGCGTGCGGCTCGTCACGACTAACAGCCATACACCGTGCTCGATGTCATTTATACTTTCTCTCCATAAACGCTTATGCCCTAATTCAAATGACAATCTGGTAAATTTTGCATATTTTACATTACAATAATTACACGGAGAGGAGTATGCAAATGGCTGATATATAAATTTTTAGTTAACAAAATGTATTTCATCGCCATTATTTCTCACCAACAAATTTATAGAAGTGCTCCTCTTAAAAGTTAGGAATTATTTATGAAATATGGAAGCTGCGAACAAGTGCAAATTCTACTTTCCTGGAAATAATCGTTATTGTTCTAGGAAGAATTCGAGCGTCATAACCGACCTCTTATGAGTTGAAACACGTTCATTGCGTTCAGAAAATATTGTATGCAATATTCTGAACATAGTAATTCTTCTTTTGTACTCGAAAGCGTGTATCCACGTGTCGCAATAAACTTAAACGTCTTAGAAAGAAACCAGTTTGCGTCGGTACAAGTGTAAGAATCGTTGTTGCTTCGCCCTCTCATCTGACACTCGAACATCTATTAAGTGGTATTCCTCACACATTCAGGGAAGCACTTCTATTGTTGAAACGATACTCTGAAAATCAATAAACTGTTGCAATGCCTTCACGTTTAATTTAACGTTGCTTTCGACATGGTTGGAATCTTTCAACAGTGCATTGTAATAACAAAGTTCGGGATCTTTCAAAAGTACATTCCAATAATTGTAATTCAATAATATTAATTAACCATGAATCAAAGTAAGCATTTCTCTTTCTCTTTCCATCCTTCTAATTATCCAAATTGATAACATATGGTAATTAGAAAATGATGTACAATATCAGTTTAAACATATTTAATAATGTATGTAAGTTCTGTGTTTCCTAATATTACCAAAATTGAATCGAGTGTAAGGAAATTTCAAAGACGTTACTTTGATGGATTTTTCACACTGTTTATTTTTAACATTTTGCAACTAATCGTGATCAGTATTCTATGCGATGATAATTGTAAATTTGCACAGATTGTGGCTGTACTGCAGTCAATCGACTGGTTCTGAAATTTGGTCGAACAGAATTGAATCCATTAAATTGTCGAGCTTGAAGTTTATTGATTTGCGGTCTCATAAATCCTGGATACTTCGCGACCATGCCAGTTACGCTTCCGTATGGGATGCCACCTGCAATCAGAGAACAATAGTCAACAAAAGAGATGAAAATATCTTTCCACTAATGTTTAACATAATTTTAAAGTACAGTAACGTCAAGATCTATAATTATCGATTCTTCTAAAATCTAAAATAGCAGAATTCCTTCTGCAGTCTCGAGTTCAAACATTCTATGCGGAAAAGTGAAAGGAATACGAAAGAAATGGTCTTGTAAGATGGTGTCGTCCTCTGTAGTCATGCTATCGAATGAAAAATAATATCAATTATATGCACATAGAGTTAATGTACTTCCACATATACAGCTGTACTAAAATTAAATTATTATTATGCATTAGTGTAATAAAATATAAAATTATAAATTTTATTTCTTTCAATAAATTCATCCTCGGTGCCATCAATTCTAAATGATATAATAAATAAAATGAATACAACAGACAAAGTATTTTATAAATCATTTATTTTATGATAATTAATATTGCATCAACTGAATCATCAATCTTGCAAAAATTAATATTTCTATTACAAAGGTATTCTGCACCTCGAATGTAGCAAGTCAGGTAGGGATCCAGTGAACTTTCTGGATCTAGATAGATCCGAATTGTGATCATTCGATGATAGGTAACATTTAGTTTCAATTCTAAGCGCTGACAGCGTTACAATCTCGTTCTGAGTCGATAACACTGGACGTGAGAGAAAAATAGTAAGAGGGCTCTTGATCTCGAGCACAGATGAAGGTCTCTGTGCTAATAGATTAGATAAACCATGCGTTGCTGTTGGAAAGTGGAGAAACTGACTTACCATACGCCAATCCATTCACCATCTCCACGATCCCTGCACTGTCCGACGTTACTGTCGATAAACTCACCAATCCGACCAGAATCATCAATAAAATAGCCTGCAAACCATAAACTATTAATATATTATTATTTTTATTTTCCTTACAGATCAAATATAAATCACGATCTTATCAAAGGAGTTAATTAATTGCAATTAATTTATTTGCAATGCCTTCCTACATTTGAGTGGTAGGTTTTGTACTGTTAATGTTATCAGTGCACTCAACCATTCATCTTTCTCAATTATACCGTGTCAAACTTAGATAACTGTAGCGAATGACAATCGCAGATAGAAAGCATACTATTACTTGCAATGTAGTCGTTGCTTCGTCTCGCAACTCTAGTCTCCCATACAAATTTAGAAATGTCGACGCGTGAATTATTAACAGTTACACGTGAAACTGTTTCACTTTCTCTGAAAATATTTTTTCAAATGTTTTGTACAAACACCGTTCGTCCTTAAATACTCGAGTACTTTAATTTCAATCTATATGATGAAATAAAATTGAAAATAAATTGCATTCAAATTAAGCAAAGAATAAATTTTATTCAAATAAAATTAGATATTAAATTTACCTAAAATTAGAAGCTACATTTAAGTAATGATAGACGATTATTTGATGCTTTGGAAAGGTGTATATCCGGATTTCTGGTCTGTGAATCACAGAACAGTAAAGTAAGTCGAGTATAAAGCCAGAGATCGAATTGTACACGCAGAATACTATTACCGTTTGCCAATCGCTAACGAGGATATTATTTCGACGATTTTCGTCACCACGAAGCCTTGTTGACAGTGGTCGAATAACTAGAAAAATTCATTTACTGAAAAACTGTATTTAGGGAAAGTTCATTGAATGTGAATATTATCAGCACAGTAACATACATTGACCTTCGAGCACACAATCACCTCTCACAAGTCATGTGACTTGAATCAGACTCGTGCTCGACTATTTCTCTCCTAATTTAATTATGGTTAAGCCTGTTCAAGACCATGGCGTCTGTCACGTGAGGAACAATGATCTTTTTGTTAAAATATCACTCAGAGTACATATGCTATTGGAAATAACATTGACATCTTTTTCTTTGTACTTTCGTTAATATTAAACATGTTAATACTACACATAGTGAATTTTATGCAACAGTATTATGTAATCAGCTTAATCTATGCAGGTCATTCTAGAACTTGACGAAATAGTACTACATGTTCCGAATAAGTAACAGTGAAAGTATTTAAACCTCAATTTATATAAAATAATAAATTCCATCTGTGTGATATATTAATTTTTAGCAATTTACATAAGTTGAAGAAAAAAGAAAATGGTTGCAGTTATTTTGTTCCTTCGTTTCCACTATCTTTATGCACTTCATGTAAACAAATTTTAACTCAGCTTTTAGATACCACACTTTAACCATCTCTATTTACATAGTCACGAGAGCAGAATTATTCTCAATGCCATTATTTTTTTTAGTCGTGCACTATAGCGTTGACGTACCTTCGTAGAAAGCATAGTGACCCTTTAGTTGTCGCGACGCGAGGCCAGAAGGAAACTAAAGCATTAATCCAAAGATCGAATTATATACGGGGCTCGGCCTCTGATCTGGCCAATCAAAGGCAACTATTCCCTTTCAGTACCAAATGTTATATTCAACGATGCAGGATTTTATTAGAATGCTGTGTGTATGTAAATGGAGGATATCGTCTACCTTAACCTTGGCGGGAACACTTACCTCTCACATCGTCCACGCTGAACGCCAGTGCGTAAAGTAAATTCACTTTTCTGCGTATTTCTGTCGAAGAAAATCCATTTTTCCTGCGATCAGATTCGGTAAGCGTATAGGAATTTTCATGGCGAAATACTGTTTAGATTCCTCGACCAAACAGTTACGTTGCACTTGAGTTAGAAAGATAGAATAATGAAGATAGATCGAATACCACTTAAAATATTAGAGACAGTTACTTATGATGAAAATATCATCAACAATTTCCTGCTTGTATTTACGTTACCCTTCTTGTGACAGTCATGGTAATTGGTATCAGTTTCATGATTATTTCAAAGAGCTCAACCAGAAAAAAATATTGCACTTAATCCCCAAGCATTTAATTATTCGTGCAACCTTTAATGGCTTAGATTCATCGTTAATTAATTAATTACTTTGACCACAAAATTGCTCAGCCGTAACGATATTCAGACCATGAAAACCGTAAGTACGGTTAGTTAAATGAAGTCATTACATAGAATATAATGGATTCTAAATGCGAAGTACTTTGCATAACAGCACCCTGATAGCATGAGTCATTATCCTCAGCGGACATAATACGTCGTTATTTTCATGTACACCATTTTCCACGCGAGAATTATCCATGAACCATTTACCAGGTATCGCGGACAACAATGAATAGAAAAATGATCGACAAGCTGCTTATAATGTCCCACGGAAAAATGGTGACACGCTAGCCTTTGAAATTAGTCCAAGGTTGTCTAGCAGGGAACATTGTTACGTTATCAGTATAATTATATCAATGATCTGTGCATAGTTAGATATTAAATAAGCAATGTCGAAAAATTCATGATTTCCTTTTCAGAACTCTAAGAGTGTTCTCTTTCGCGATACATTTATTTTATAGTATCATAATTTATGTACAATAATTCAAGTTACAGTTAACAAGTATATAACATTATAATTGTAATAAAAAGCTAGAGAAATGGGTAAGTGAATTAAATATTTCAGTTGTATTATAAATAATCAGTTTCTCCCACTTCGATGGATTTTACCGTGTAGACTTCAGCATATTCTGTAATTATTACAGAATTGGTAAAGATAATTTAATCAATACAAATTATGAACGATGATCCACGTAATAATAAAGCCTTTGTTTTGGTTCTTTAATGAACTTTCTTTTAACTTTTTGTCATCTTGTTCGTTATTCTCCCCTTTTTTACTTTCTTGATCCTATGACAAATGAATTTTCATACTCCACTTCGTTAGTTTTTTCTTGCTTTAGTTTACTTC